CATGAACAGCTGTACAAGGCTGCTTGGTTTCAGGCAACCAACGCACGCCACCCTCACCTGGGAGCTGCCAATAATGACCGTACGCTTGTTCTTTTGGCCACTGAGCAGTTTAATTAGAGCAGTCGGGGGTTAAGTACCTTGTTTAATGGCACACTAACAGAGGTGATTTAAGACAAGGAAAACATCATTTTTTTATTATCCCTGTCGTTGTGTACTCGGCGGGGAGTTTAGGCCACTGACCTTCAAATTTCAACAGCAGTCTCAATGCTACAACATTCAAGCCAACTCTTACCTCTCTCCTCCATTTTCTGTATTTTTTTCATTATTTTCTCTCTCTCTTTCTCTCTCTGACACACACACACACACACACACACACACACACACACACACACACACACACACACACACACACACACACACAATCCCCCGTCAGCTTGTACTTCAAAAGGCTGCTGTACTGCAGCAGTTATTGGTTCCTGTGTTTTGGCTGCTGTGCCCTGAGAGATTTTAAAGCTAAAGAACCAGTTGTGTTTTTATCAAAGCTTCTTCAGTCGATCTGTCAGTCAGCCGAGTCTACGGAGAGAGAATTCACATAAAACAGAGTTGTATACCCTGCCAACCTAGGTTCGTGCAACAGTCACATAAAAAAATAAAAACCTACCTATTTACTGTTGATGGGCAGAATAAAATATGTGATACAGCTGATCTAGCTTAATATTTCCTCTTTTCTTTCTTTTGGTTTTGTGTAGCCCAGTTTTAGACCAAGCAGAAAACACATTTTTACATATTTAAACAATGTCTGCTAAAATAAAAATGATGTTTCGGAGAATGTTGTATGTTCTTTGGAAAAACCTCCACTGACCGTATGAACCTCCCACTGTGTCATTCTCTAATCAACATAATTACTTTAAAACATAAAAACAACTAAAACTCATCCATCAAGCAAATCCTAAAGCACGGATATGTCCAGAGTTGTAGTGTTTTTTATGTATGTTATGGAAATTTTATATTTCATTGCTTTAATCCTAATAAATGTCCTGAAGCATTCTCACACTCAGACACACCCACACACTGTTCCTCCCACACACACACACACACACACACAGATACACACACACACACACACACACACACACACACACACACACACACACACACACACACACACACACACACACAATGACCTCACTCCCTTTCTTTTCTATTTGTTTAAATAAACTCTGATCAGATGTTCGGGGCATTTTGCCTCGTGCATATACCACAGTTATAACTGGCTGACTTGTCTGCTCATTGTTTCCTTCTCTCTTCACTATAGGAAATATGTTTATTGATAAACATATTGATAAAATCCCTAAAAATGTATTTATTTATTCTACAATTTACATAAAAATAAAGACCTCTTAAAAGTGATTCAGGATCATTTCTTCTGCTCGTTAAACAATATTTTTCAAGCTGTAACCCAGCAGAACTAAAATTAGCTGTAAGCTATTTTGGATAGGGAGGGAGTTCTTGAACATCACATTTGATGGAGTGCTGTTAGAGTCAATAAGTTCAGATTTCTGAGTTCCACAATGAGAAATTATGCAGTGATGCCTTCAGAACAAGAGGTATTTTTCTATAGGCACAATCCTAAAATCCAAAATGGCCACCTTACATATGGATGGATGTTCAATTTGCATGTCATTAAAATAAATAATAGAGAAAAACTACTTTACAACAACTTCTATTGAAACATGCTGCTTTATGTTTAAAGGCATCAAATGCAGAAACAAACGTGTTTTTCATGATGCTGATAGCACTTATCCTAATCCTCTTTCATAAAACTGTTTGCTGCAAAGCTGAAGTGGCATCAGGGAGGCTTTGATTGTTCATAGGTGTTCAGAATGTGGCGTGATGTGCCGATCATATGCTTTTCACAAAAGACTGCATGATGGTGGTGTGGGAGCACTCTCTGCACTGTCATGGACTTCCTCTTAGCTTGAACATAACTGGTTTTTATTGCGATTGAAGCTGCGCTCCTTAAGTTTTCCATAAAAGCTGCTCCTAAAGGTGTCTGTCCTGCATGGTCCCATGGCGATCTGAGCTCCAGCTCTAAATGAGAGAAGCTCCCAGAACACACCGCTCCAGTTTGCCATCTCAGCTGATTCTGTTATAAAAAATAAAGCCTATTTAATTAATTTTCGACATGGTTGTTGGCCGGAGCTTGGCAAACATTCCACGCGTGTTCATGACACCACCCTTTGTTACACCAAGGCGTAATCTTCATTCACAAGTCCAGCACTGCGATAATATTACTACCAGGCTTGGGTGGCACGAAAGCCGCAAAATTGCTGCATCTCCATGCCGCCATGGCGCTTTCATAAGACACACTGTAGCAGCAGTATTACACTGATTTGCTGGCACGGTGTGTCTTTATGAGCTGTAGCGTCCAGCAATGGTCAGTTTAGGCACTGTTTGACCTTTCACCATCTATTCAACATCTGGTCAGAAAGGAGACACAACATTGCATGTGTTCCCTTTAAAAGTTTTGCCTTCACACCAGCTGGGATTCAGAGTCTGCTAGTCTGAAAGGTAAACAACTTTCTTTCCCCCAAGGTCTCATCTGTCTGCCTCCAGAAGAAAGAAGAACTCTAGTTTGAATCAATTGCTAAATTCAAGAATCATTTACTAAATCAATATGAACTCCTTCTATGACTTATAATCTAGATAATCATTAAATCAACATCTGTTTATTGCTACTTATGATAATTATAGTATAATGAAATACTCCATTAATCTGTGCACACAGAATGGATGTGATATTATGTTTGTCTAATATAATCTGCAATGTGTTCACCATGTTTTGACGGCAAGGTCCTCACACCTGTTCCACACAATAACAAGTACGGTTAAGTTAAATCCATGACGCATAATTAACCTTTTACCCAGATCGGAGCCTCCGGATCAAAGAAGGCGTGTTTCTGAGATTCTTGGTAATATCCTAAAAGTTGTCAACTTTTGGTTGGCTACACAATCATAACACCATAACATTAAACCAGATTTATGCTGGTGATTCTTTAGTTCTAGAGGATCGCTCAGACCGGCCATCTGTAGCAAAACCTCTTTAACCATCAAAGATTTTGACACGTCGTCAAAACCATTTTGCACCTGCAAAGCTGATGAGCAAACAGTTCCTGCAGAATAAAGCTGATATTGTTTAGACCCCTTAAGAGTCCCAGACGCCCAGTTCCATCCGTCTGTCGTGACCCGAGACATCTCTGGACTGAAAGGATCGGTACCACGGTATTCTACAGCCCTCCGATGCGAGCGATCATCCGACCTCTCTGACTTTCGGATCCACCAAGAGGGTCTCTGAATACGGGTAATGTAGACACACAGATAGCGTCTGATGTGGGTTTTTGATAACAAACAACTTCATAGTTTAACACAGACCAAATTCTTTTACATCCAGAATTCAGCTCTCTGAGATACGGAAGTTCTGACCAACATCACATCCCCACATAGGTTCCAGACATTACCTTTAGCTCCATCCACTCACAGTAAATAATAGTTGACCAATTTGTCATGTTTTAAATTGTTCGTAAAATAAATTCTTACTTTTATAAACTTGACTCTTTCTTGAAGTAACACGAAGTGTGGTTGATCACTAAAAAAAGCAAAGAACCTAGATCTTCTGAATTAAATCCTAGAATCTTCTGATTAAAATAAAGACCTCGCAGGTTAATATTTTATATTTATATAGGATATTACATCTTCATGGTCATAACAGATAAAATCATCAATTTGCCTCCGCTACACAGCCTTAAGAATGGCTTTATGAAAATTATCTTGTTGAAGCTACAATAGTCACGCCCATCTACTTCCGGACCATGGGTCCCTGGAAGAACTAAAAAATGAATGCATGTCATTGGGGCTAAAAATGCTATTTTCTAATTCTGCTTGTTGTGTGTTTTGGGTTTCACATATAATGTCCGTGAATTTTAAAGACACATTCTGATACCAAGAAAGTGCTTATTTTCAAACGGGGGAAATGTTATTTTAGGTTATGTGTGAAAGTAAGTCCAGAAGTATAAATGCGCTTCACCAAAGTGACGTCACCGAACCAGACATAGAGAAAAACAGAGGGAATTGGCTTTAAGTTCAGCGAACTTCAAGTCCTTCTGTCAGGAGGAACGAAACACCATTAAATCTGGCCATGTGGTAAGTAGCAGCTATGCTAGAGGAGAGGAGATTATGTGATGACGTCATATTTGCAACATGCTGATGTCTGATTTGTAGTTGTGCTGATTATGAACTTTTACAAGCTGATAAATGTCAAAGTACGTGACTGAATATTGTTGAGAAAAACTTTCAAACAAGCAAAAACAAATAAAGAAAAGATACAGGATGACAGCACTGGCCTTTAGCAGCTTGACCATATACAGAAGAGAAACTAGAGTTATTCACTTTTAAAGCTGCTTTCCGGAGTTTTCCCCTTTCAGAAATGATGTATGTTTTTTTTTCAGAAATCTGTAAAAGTGATTGTTTCATCATGTACTGTGATATAGTGTAAGCAATACGTCGTTTTTGTTTTTGTTTATGCTAAGCACGCCTCCTGCCCTGCAGAGCTCCGTGCAATAGGAAACTGAGCGCCGACCAGAACTGACCAATAGCGTTAGACTACCGCTTAGATGCTTCAAATTTAAGGAATACCTCGGCTGATGCAGAGTTGATGAACTTTTTACGGACAAGTAAGTCTCTAAAATATAAATATATGATAACACAACATGACATGAGAGTAATATTCATAAAACAACATGTTTTAGCTCTGTTTGTCGGCTACAGAAGCACATTTATAAACAAAAACGTGGTCAGTTTTTTGTGTGATATGCTTGTCAGCCACTAGATGGTGCCACCAGATAAGAGAAATATTCCGGAAAGAAGCTTTAACTTCTAACAGCTTGTGTTCAAACAGGTTACGATTCTGCCGGAGATGACTGGCAAAGTCTCATGTCACCTACCTTGTCAGCCATAATCATAGAAGAGCCCCCGTGAACTCCAAGGACTGGAAGCTGGGTCTGAACAGACAGGAAGTCAAGGATCTGTGCTATGGCCTCTTGATCGGTGCCGTCAGCAAATACAAGGCCATGGAGGCGAGAGCGAGACACAAGCTCACACACCTGAGACACAAATCTCAGGTTTAAAATCAAAAATCTATGATTTTAAAAGACACATGAGTGTGGTTCCTACCTGTGTAATCACAGACTTTGGGTCTGTCTGGTTCATCTTCAGTGTGACGACATCAACATCAACAACATCTTGAGGGCGCCGTGAATACTGGAGTTCCTGGTCGAAGACTGGGCGGGTCTGACCCAGTATCACACCCACGCTGAGCCCCGGAGGCTTTTCAGATGCCTCAGCCACCGTGATCGAGGAGAGAAGGAGCAACATCCAGCCCACTACACCCATCGTACCCTAAACAACACAGAACCACAGAAACAAAGTCCACTTTTAGAGCTCATTGAAAGTTAACACTTTAAGGACCAAATTACAGGAACCATTTGTTTCTGTAATTGGGAAAATTCAATTTGAAAGTTTTAAAGCAAAAAGAAACAACATGTCTCACCTAACAGCTAGCAGAGCAGATACTCTACCTAAATGCACCGTTCTCACATCAGCTGTTGCTAATTCATTAGATTAGCTAATCTTAATGTGTTTAATACAATTAAATCTTGTAAAATTATTTCTTTCTTTGACAGTTTATGCCTGCTGGAGGCAGATCTTCGTAGCTACAGGTGGGAAACAAGGTTTAATGGAATTTGACATAAGAAATTTGACACTAAAGGAAAATTAATTTGCTGCATATACAGTGCTCAGCATAAATGAGTACACTTCACTAGATTTGTCAGAAGACCTTTAGTTTCCTTTCAGAATCAACATTTTCTATGAGACTACTACAAAACACTCCCACAAATGTGGGCCATTCATTGCAAACAAGTTTTGTTCATTTCCACACACAAAACTGTGATTTCCCTAATAAATCCATTCAAGCCCATGTTTCAAAAATGAGTAAACCCCAGTTATAGTCTTAGGCCCTGTCCACACGTAGCCGGGGATCTGCCAAAATGTAGATATTTCCCTATGTTTTGGCCTGTCATCCACACGAAAACGGAGTTTTTTTCACACGAAAACGGATCTTTTTAAAAACTCCGGCCAAAGTGAAGATCTGCGTTTTCTCCGTTTTGGGTGTCTGCATGTGGACAGACAAAACCGGAGTTTTAAGGTCCGCAACGTCACTTTCCGCGACAAAAAAATGCTGACATCACGTATGCGACCTGTGTTTACACTAGCCGACAGCATGGATGCCCTCAGAGCTGCGCTCGCTTTATCAATTGTCCAAGCGCTTTTTGCTTGTTTGTTTTCGCAAGTGGAATTACTGCTCCTTGTGGAAGACCACAGACGAAGGACGAGGTTAAGAACAGGGGAAGTACTGCCGCCTACAGGTCTGGCATGTCCTTAACAACGTATTTATCCGGGTACGTGTGGACAGAGTTTTTTTTTTTTAAACGAGGTGGTGTGGATGCAAGTTTTTGGAGGGGCGGATATTCGTTTTAAAAAAAACCGGCTACGTGTGGACTAGGCCTTAGAAGAAAAAACACACTTAAGACTACAAAAGTCTAATTAACAGGCATTCACCCACAGGTGAGTCTAATGATTCGTTTAACAGGTGCCCAGCAGACAGGTGACTATAAAAGGGCATTACTTAACAAAGAAAAGCTCTTCCCATTTCATGCTGTCAGCAATGGCTCCACGTGGAAGAGATATGTCACAAAATCTGAGAAAGGATGTCATTTCATTACACATAAAAGGTGAAGGCTACAAGAAGATCAGCTAAACTTTGCATACCAGTCAAAATACTGTAGCAAAAGTGATCCAAACATTTAAGAAAGATGAAAGTGCAACCATCTGACAGATACCTCCAGGCCATCCATGAAAGTTAACATTTGGACAGGAGCGTCTTCTGATGAGAAGGGTTGAAGAAAGTCACCATGCAAGTTTACTGCACTTAGCTAAAGCAGTAGAAAACAAAACTGGAGTGACCGTTTCCTGTGACACCACACGGCGTACGCTGCAGAGGAATGGCATGCATGGGTATCGTCCACGAAGGAAGCCTCTCCTAAATCCCATGCACAAAAATGCATGCCTATTTGCTAGGGCCCATAATGAAAGAGAAGAAGACTATTGGGACTCTATACTCTATACCTCACAGGTCTCGTTCACATCGTCACCTCGTCCCGTTCCTTCAGGTCCTCCTCCTCCATTCATCTCTCTGTGCCCTCCTTTCGTCTCAGCACCATGGGGAGTAGAGCCTTCAGCTGCACCGCTCCCAAACTCTGGAACTCCCTTCCCCCTCTCATCATGAACATTAACTCATTCACAGAATTCAAAAAACAACTCAAAACTCACCTCTTCATAACCACATATCAGCTTTGAATTTTGTGCCTTGTTTGTTCATGTTTACGTATGTTTACTTACTGAATGATTTGTGTTTTTATTCTGTACAGTGTCCTTGAGTGACCAGAAAGGTGCTTTTAAATAAAATATATTATTATTATTATTATTATTATTATTATTATTATACTCTGGAGTGATGAGACAAAGATCACCGTTTGTGGAACTAATAGTTTCAAAGCTGTATGGCGTCGTAAAGGTGATGATTTCAAAGAGAACTGCATGGTGCCTGCAGTGATACATGGTGGTGGTGGTGTCCTTATGTGGGGCCGCGTGAGTGCTGCTGGTGTTGAGGTTTAGTAAAATTGAAGATTTTGTGATCTAAGTTATATTATTACCCTTAATTTCATGTTATGGAGTTAAACAAGTGTTCAATAAAACCCAGTCTTGTGAAAATTCTGGAAATTGTTCTTTTGTTCATTGAACTACTGATAAATAACTTTTTGAAAGTGGGTGTACTCATTTATTCTGAGCACTGTATACCATTGTAATCAAAAGCTTGGCTTACCAGCTTTGTAAATGGGTTTAAACTAATTAGGGTTTTAACTGAAAAGTTGTGCTACTGGCAAAAAATAAATAAACACTGATGTAGTAGTTTTTGGATTATAAAAGAAGCTAACATGGCAGTATGTTACAGTGCAGTACCACTGAGATAACAGAGTTATGTCAAATTAACTGAACTATGTTTTGTCAGCTATCCAATGTAGCTAACAGAGGTAGCAGGTCCAGAAGGGAAACCCTACTCGCCCTAGATCATCCGGAATGATTCTAAGGTGTTCCCAGGCCAGTGAGCTCAGGATCTCCTCTCAGCGAGACACTCTAACTACCTCGGACTACTCCCTTAGATGAGGAAGTGTAGTGGCTCTACCCTAAAGCCATTTTTACAAGACACACCATGCCAGCAAATCGGCGTAATATTACCGCAATGGTGTGTCTCATAAACGCATGATGTCGGCATGGCGTTGCGTGAATTTTGCGGCATTCGTTCTGCCTCGCTTGGTAGTAACATTGCAATAATGGTCTGTCTTATAAACGGCTTTTGAGCCATGGCACAACAGAGCGAGGTGTCATGATGGCGCGAGGATTTAATGCCGAAGTCCGGCCAGCAAATATATTGAAAATGAAAGTAAACACTGTCCGTAAGTTTTGCTATTTGAACAAAATCAGCTGAGACGGCAAACTGGAGCGCTGCAGTTCTCCGTGAGCGTCTCTCCGTTAAAGCAGATGCTCAGATCACTAGAGATTGCACAGGGACTGATGGAGACAGACACCTTTAGGAGTGGCTTGTTAAAGAAACGTAAGGATCGCGGATTCAATAGCAATAAAAGGCAAGTTATGTCCAAGATAAACAGAAGTCCACCACAGAGACATCATCTGCAAAAAAGAGCCCAAGGCTCCACAAGCAAACATCCTGCTCTTCACAACTGCACCTTGAATTTCTCTCCATGAACACTACAAACTTCAGGAACATGGGACAGTCCAACCTCTTCACATTATACCAAGAATGGTTAGAAAACCAGCTTAGAAAACCTTTTTCTCAACTGATAACTAGTTTTTTCTAAACTAAACAAAATGTGTCTTCCTCATCAGAAATCACAATAAACCTGCAAATCGTTCTGGCTGAAAATATCATGAATGATCCATTGAAAGATCATCTTCAAGTGTTGATGCTAAATAGGATAGGATAGGATAGGATAGGATAGGATAGGATAGGATAGGATAGGGTAGAATAGCTTTATTTGTAATTGAACCAGCATACCGGTACAACGAAATGTAGTTTCAGTACAACTATTCCAAGATCAGCCATTTAGCACTTGAAACACGTAGACAGGAAAACGGTTTAACTGTGGGCATGCGGCCATTATAGCATTCCTATTATGCAGATGTATAAACATGGATATAATCTGGGAAGGGAAAGATGAGGGAGAAAGAGCATATGCCCTCACTCTGCACCCTACAGGAAGCAGAGTTGTTTTGCAGAAAAAAACCACCTCAGACATAAAAGCACACATTCAGACAGTCATAACTGAACAAGAGGTAGGTGGGATGGGTGGGAATCCCCATGCATCCGAGGGAGACCAGCAGCTGCTCATCGGCACGGCCTTCAGCCTGCCCAAGAAACTGGGAGGAAGGTTTCACAGATGTGCGAGTACGTTGAAAAACTGGAAGTGTGTGCGTGTCTGTCATGTGAACACATGCATGAATGTGTACATCGGTGTAAGTGAGTCTCAGTTCAGCTGCAATATCCGTTGCCACATATGTAACAAGCTGATCCAGGGGGTCCAAGATCCCATGTGAGAAAATGGGCAGGAAGGGATAGAGCATCTGTCTTCATAAACACACAAGAAGTTTTGGATTAGCGGCCTTTCAAGGCCAACAACATGGTGGCCAAATTCAGATAACAATTGTTTTAGTTCGACTAGAGTTGTGTCTGCCTCTGTCTCTCAGTGATCTCTGGTAATTTCCAAACAGCCAAATATAGGGTCAGTTTTCTCCAAGTCGAGCTGTAAGCTTCTCCAAGTTCTGATCCATTTTGCGGACGAGTTTTGAAACCAAAGCCAGTTTGCTGATCAGAGAATCCAGCTTCCATCCGGTTATGCTTGTTCAACTGAGAGTCGAGAGTCTGACTGCTTACTGCCTAACACTTCCTTCCTAGAAACCGGGCAGCTTGGCAGTCGCTCCCAACATCTTCTGAATCTTGCGATATGCAAGGAACCTGCCTGCTCCAAACAGCAGAATCCTAGTTATCATTAATCCAATTTTACATACTGCATCCTCAAATGGACAGCAGCGACAGACAAACAATCTTCTAATAAATGCTGAACGGATAGAAACAGATTGGCGTGCACTTATGAAAAAAGTCCTAGATTTCAAAAACACATTTTCATTATTGTTGAAAATAAGCAGCTTGGAGTGTCAGATGTAGAAAATGAACAACGTTGTGAAGGCCGCGGAGGAACTAC